TGTAAAAATTTTGAAGGAAAAAATTGTTAATGAAAATTTAGAGATTCGTTTTTATCATGTGGTTGCTCTTTTTTTTTGACAACTGTACTCACATATAGTATATACGATTGCTATAGTGGAATTGTTTATAAAGTTGGGCTGAAATAATTTTTGTGTGTTATTAGATAAGAAAGTGCGTTTGGTTTTCCAATTTCATAACTTACTCATATTTTATGCCAGAAATATTTGGCATGAAAAGTACACACATACATACACATTAATTGAATAAATTCCTAGAAAGTGTGAAGTAAAAATAAAATAAAATTTTATTATTTACTTAACTGATTTATTCCTGATAATAATTATTTGAGCACACACATAATTTTGAGCAGCTGTCGAGAGATTTTTAAAAGCCACGTAGTGTAGAAGAAAGAAATTGAAAAATTTATATTATAATTCGTTTAAAGTTTTTAAATGCCCTTAAGCGCACACAGCAAGCCAAGACAGGATGGCGCATATTATTATAATTATTATTTTCCATTAATTAATTTTATTTTACTTTTTTACTTATTTATTTCTCGGCAGAAACGCCAATTTATCTTTTCGCACCCTGCCACTAACTCACATCAAACAAGAAACCAATACCCAATTGAAGTCGTTTCTGCAACCGAACTGTTTTAAGAAGCGATAATATTGGCATCTCTGCCTTGACCTAGCCAAATTCATATAAAAATATAGTGTACATTAATAAATTAAACCAGCGTTACTCGTTATCCCAAAGCGAGACGAATCAAACAAACCACTTTGTTAGTTAGGCCACGCCGTGGCCTGGAACAGACCAAATAAGCAAAATAATAATAATAAATGGCAAACGGCAAACGGCAAACGGCAACTGCAACGAATGTAAACGAGCCACATACTGAACCAAATTAATACACTCATACCAATTCAATATGTGCATATGTATTATATACATATGTATGTATGTACGAGTATGCACATGCAAGTTATGGTTGCAGGTAACATTTGCCGGGCCAAAAAAAAAAACATATAAACCTGGATGTCTTTGGCTAGTGCAAGTTTAGTTGCATGCAACAGCGTCTAAGCCAGCAACAAGCAACGAGTAAAGAATTTTCACAAAAATTCCAAACAGTGTGTGCATGTATGCACATATGGGTGTGTGTGTGTGTAATTCTACGTTTATACATTTGCCACAGCTTCATTCTAACCCGACTTTCGACACTAGATCTTCTTCTGCAGCGCTAGCAACATCTAATGTTGTCGTAAGCTTGTCTTTCTTCTCCTGAATCAGCCTGCATTCTTAGCTTAGCGTGCGATAGTTGTGCCCACCTTGAAATATTCTCTATTCGTTTGTGTGTATGTATGTATGTATGTATGTATGCATGTTCTTATATGTAATGCAGCAAAAGAAAGAAGAACATTTTATAAAATATTTTCATTTTAAATTTCATTTTGTTTCATATTCTTCTACATGTACATATGTACATACATATATCTATTTTCCACATAATCTTATTTTTTCACAAACATGTCGTGGTGTGCGTGTGCGTGTACGTGCGTTATTAGTGTGTGTATTTTCTTCTGAGCCTGTTTTTAATGGACGCCAAAAGTGGAGGTTATCAATTCGACTATGAATTGTAGGTTTTATTGAAAATTGTTTCAACAACGCTAGTTTTTTAGACGCTTGCTTCAACCAATAGTTCCTACTTGCATAGATGACAAAGAAAGTTAGTATCAAGGGGGTCAATCAAGGAGCTGTTTCGATGGGTTTGATGCATTTAAAAAGGGTTTGGAGAAGTAGATTTTGATGGACATTAAAAGAAGTCGTAGAGGGACTCGCGGTTTTGGATATGACTCGGTTCTCACGTGGTTGCTCGAACTCTCTTCGACTGCTATGGTAGGTGGTTGGATGCCATGGACGCAATCCACAGTAAGAGAGTTGATCAAGACATTGACTGCCTCTCTGGGGTGAGGCATTATGGGTTAATGCTGAAAATCTAAACTGCTAGGATGGCACTCGGCTTCTAGCAAGTTTACCATATAGTAGCATCTTAACGCTACGCTGTTTGTACAGCATAACATTATGCTCCTTATGAGTTTAAATGGATATCTCGCTTTGCAAATTGGTGAAGTCAGGAGGTTTCCTGTGATGGTGACCATGGCGGTGTTCTGACAGGCTCTTAACTACTTCAACTGCTACGACTAAACTTGCATACTCCGCAGCGCGGGTAACTTAACGCTGCAACAACAACAACGAGGTGTAAAAACCTAGATTTATAAAAAATTTCATTTCGATTGTGACAAGGGGTTAAGTTTAGTTTTCATGTAGAGGTCTTTAGTTCCCCATGAGAATCTTTACATTTTAATATTTTTTTCGGTATGTTGGATCCAAGCTGGTTAGGTGGGAGCATTAGTCGCTTCAATATCGAGAACGTCATTATCCTATAAATATCTGGATATAATTATGCTATTTAAATACTCCGCTTGCTTTGTTTGACACCATGCTAGTCCCAGAGCCAACTTAACTTCTGCTTTTTTCATCGTTTAATTTATTTTTTAATTTGCTAATATTATTGACTTTTGTCCATTCCCTAACCAATTTGAAAATAGTATAGCGATTCGATATCGATCTAAAAGGAGAGAATTTCAAGAGTCCAACCCAGAAAGGGCAAGTTGCCTTCTAACCAAGGAGATGTCATATGTTTGCGTAGAAAGTTAGGAGAAGAGAGTGATTTGGTTACTATTTTCAAATTTGATTTCATTTTCCACCAAAAAGGGTTTTACTACTACTATTTTCTACAGAGAGCTCCAACGAAATCGTCGCTTTCAGCCGTTCCATTGCCGCTGTCGATGCCGAAGTTTCTTTTAGCATGCTTTAGATAAAACAGAAAAATGTTGATTTGTTTATTTTTGTAGCATTCGTAAATTACATAAAATCGTTGAAAGTAATTTATGAAGATTACTGCTGTGACTGTGAATTCGACTGTGTAGACTATACTACACGTACACTCTATGTATGTATGTACACGTATGTATGTATATGTATGTATAAAGTCTTGACTAAACTAGAGTCTATGAAATGTGCGATTTTTCGTTTTATTACTTATTTCCTTCTCCATATTTCTTTAGATGGAATTGTAGTTGAGAAGCAAATAAATGAATCCAAGTAGTTACTTATTAACGAGTTCATTGAAATCATTTCATAGACACACTTACGTTTTGTATGTGTATAGATATGTATGTATGAATGTATTAATACCACAACCATATATGAAAAATATATAAATACTAATTTTTACATATATATGTATAAAATTTCACTCATTTATCGTACTTATATGAAGGTAGCATTTATGTGCATACATATGTATGTATTTCTCTTGGTATAAATATTTTTCCTTTTTTATAAATTATAAATGTAAACTTAACTACGTAAGTATTCAGCTTTTAATATATGTATTTAGTACGTACATACATATGGTATGCATTTACGTGCGCAATAATAATTTAATTTGTGGGTATTTTTATTTTTGATATCCTAATAAAAGTAGACATTTTTATTATTTAAGCTTACAAATTATAAATGTACATATGTAAAATTTGAAATAAAGTAATGGAATTCAGCATTTGTTTTTCAAATCTTTATATTTCCTTCGATTTTTAGTTTTTTTATTTTCTAGCAGAAAAGGAAACATGAAATTATTTAGCGAATTGTAATTTTTTCAGTTTTTTTTTTAATGAAATAGCAACAAAAGTAATACGTAGACTTATTTATCTGTTAGAACACTTCCTGCGTAAGGCCAAGCGAGCAATGAGAAGTGAATCATTTACTTCAAATTAAAGCTGTCCCATCTTATTCTCGAAAAGTTCGTACTCTCCGTAAGGAATAATAAATCATTTTATTGCTAGTAGTTTCGAATAAATCTTAAATAGATACGTGTGCATACATATATATATGTAGATACGTATGTATATGGACACCCTTACTTAGTGTTCAATGGGTTGAAATATCATTGAGGTTTTTCTAAATTCAGTCGCCACCGGCAGAAAATTCCTGGTTAGAAATACCTATAAATGATTCTGCTTTGAAGACGTTCAATTAAATGCTTTTCCCTGTGGCAGTGTAAACAAAAATTTCATATGTACATATGTACCTTTGTACATATATAAATTTAAAAATTTATTTATCCTGATCGAAAGTCATAAATATTTCCGACATATTTAGGTAAATTTAAATAGATATGTTTAATATGGAAAATACTTTATGGCAAAGTAGTATTTACATTTACTTAAACAGCGAGGTGTGATTTGAAACTAAATATCTATTCAGACATCAAAAGTAACGGAATTTTTCTATATTAAATGAAAATAATTAAAGTAGTAAAAACAATGCTTTCTCATGCATATTTCCATTTAAAAGTGTTGGTAATTACAATTCACAGTATGTTCATAAGAAGCCATAGTAGTATCTAATAAGTACAAATTTTGTAAAAAGAAATCGATAAGTAAATTTTTATTGCACTCTCAAAAAGACTGTGTTACTTTTTATAATATTGGTCGTATATAAATATTTCATAATACACTCGCATGCGTATACTCGGCTATACACACAAATCTATATACACACCTACTTAGGTATATTTGTATGCACTTTTAATCAATATTTATTTTTTAAAGAGCTTTAATCGCAACAAACAAAAACAAAAACTTGTGCAAATATTCTAATTATAACTATAGGAATAGCTGCATAAGCTTATACCATCAAATGGGTACCTACTTGCTAGATATCAAATATTTACATATATAACTATGTAAAATTCCAACACACAACAGTTATTATCGAATTAATATTGTACGTATGTACATAATTGAATAATATACATAATAAAATTGATACTAATTGTAGTTATTTCAGTATTTTAACTCATTTTATTACATTATAATGACACTTGTAGTTATTTCATTAAATACGTTTGTACATATGTAGTTTTAAAACTTACACTGTAATTTATAATACATTTAACATTGCAACACAGCTACAATAACTACACATTAAACAATTTTCATTGCAAATCCGCAAATTACGAGTTACGAAACTATTTTATTTGTAAACAATAATTGCTTCCATAGCAGAGCACCAAAACAATCAATGCATTTTCAATTCAATTCAATTTAGCACTGACTGAACACAAACGAGCCTCTTTAAATGCTTTGAAAAATGCATTGTTTTTTCGTGAAGAGCTCTGTAGTGTGTTCAGTATAGTCTTCAGCGCTTATCAGTACTATAGAGCTGCCAAGTCTCCTATTTAAGTGTGTACATAATCTTAAAAACACTGCAGCATCAACTTTGTTGTAATGGCGAAAGGCGGGTTAAAGCACATGTCTGGCTACGCAATTATGTGAAAGTGTGTTCAGTGCTTGCGATTTTTCAAGGAGAAAACGCGCTTTAATAACGTACTCAAGTGATATATAAACATTTAAATAAAAAAAATCTCTAATCTAATAAAATGCATAAGGTGAGTAAATATATTAAATACCTATTGGCAATGTAAATCATTATTCAACTTCTGCACATGTAAAACGCATCAAATACTTTCCAAAACATATTCGGGAATTTCATCAATATTGCCAGACTACTATAATCAAGTTACAAGTAAAGTAGCGGCACATATCTGCACATCTGCCAAAAATTGCTGGTTGTTTGTAAGAAAATATTAGAAAAGTAAAACACAAATTTTAAAAAAGATCTTTTTTAGTTCTTTTAATTATTAAGAAACGCTACTTATAACTATATTTACTGAGCTTGCTTATAAAAAGTCCAAAAGGGCAAGTGAGACATATTGTTGATATATTTATATTGCCCTCTATGTATAGTTTTATAACCATAATGGAAACTAAGTCGATAATTGCTCCAACATTTGTATAGCGCAAATTATGTTAAGAAATACTCTAATTACGAGAAAATTTTAATTAAATTTAATTTAAGTTCCCTGGGCTGTAGCCTATCTTTTAGCATAATTGCACTTTCATTCTATTTTATCATATTAGGGATCCTCATCTAAACAGAAAAAGCTATTTGCGCATTTTTTCTCTACAAAAATTTAAATTTCCCAGGTGAAAATTATATCATTTTTATCAGCCGTTTTCACGTTAAAATAAATTCTTGACATGGCCTGCTTAAGGGTAATAGAGGTTAATTTTCCGTGACTTTGGATTCTGGTCAGACCAAGACTCGAACGCAATGTTAACCACTCGACTATTACGGCCGTTGTCATGTTAAGTGCACTGGTAATATTCTAATACCAAGAAACTGTGGTGTTCCTTCCGTTGGTAATTATAGCTAATTAAATTTATGATATTGTAGACAAACTCCAAATGACTCACTACAAATTAGTTGGGAAAATAGAAATGTAAAGGGTAGCAAAGAGAATTTACTCTTTATACTTATGCCATTTTAATAGTTCATAATTGAAGTTCGGAAATCTTAAATAATTTTATAAAAATGCAAATAGGAAAAAAAAATTTTTTTTTGGGTCACACATCATGTAGACCATAAGCACATGTGTATATGTGTTGTGGCGTGACAGCTCACTTCCAATATTATTTGCTAATATGGCAATATCTCGAAATGCCACCGACGCTGGAAGTGAGCGACGTTTGCGCATTGCCTTCCATCGAGCACTTCCAGCCAGCAGTGGAAGTTTTTTTTCCATATTGATTAGTTATGTCGCTTTTGTTGTTTACCCATTAATTTTCCTCAAATTGTGTTGAAAAAATAAAATTTCTAAGAATAATAATTTAAAAACAAAAGTGAAAATTTTCGAAAACGGTGCATTTTCTACGGTTTTCATATATTTTCCAAGCTGACGACGAACTGCACGATTGGTAAGACAGTCGTGAAGCAACCCCAGATGTCCACTGGAGTGGGAGGCGGAGGAAGCAGCATCACAACTGACCACAGCCGATTATATTTCCTCAATTCGCCATCAACACCGCTTACCGCGCGCGATCCATTTTTCATCAAGCCGGAATACCTCAATTATGAAAATCCCATGCACCATCTCTATCCCAGTAATAGGGGCTTAATCGACTATAATAATTATACTAGTGCTGCGGTAGCAGCAGCCAGTGGTAGTGGAAGCGCTTCAACAAATGCTGTTGCAGCTGTCGCCGCCCTTAATTTAGAGAACAATTTCCAGCAACCTCAATCACAACAGTCGTCATCTTCGTCATCGCAACAACAACAAACACAACAGCCACAAACACCTTCATCGACGAACCAGCAACAAACGCAGCAAGGCCAACAGCATCCACTGCATCTTCACCTCAGCACACCGCCATCAACTCGAGCGCAAAAAGCAGCCCGTCGGCGAAGCAACGAATCAGTGGAGGCACGGCAAAGACGATTAGCGCGAAACGCTTCAAGAATGCGCGAGAAACGATCCAGAGAATCTGAGGAGGAATACCGCATCCGGTTGGCGAAAAATGCGGAAGCGAACCGTATACGACGTCAGAATGAAAATGAAGTACAAAGAACCCTAAGACTGATGAAAAATGCCGCCAGGCAACGGTTGCGGCGGGCTGGTGAGACGCCGGAAGAACGCAAAAAGCGTTTGGCCAAAGCCGCTGAACGCATGCGAATCGCGCGAGCCAATGCACCAAAAGTGTATAAGCCTCCACTGGAGGATCGCCTTAAGGGTTACTAAATATACATACATAAACATACATACTTATACGTCAGCAGGCAGCATCAAATCTATCTCATAATGGACAAGAAGAAGACGTATGTGTGGTATTGATGTCATAACCATCATAAACCATTCATAAATGACGCAACAAAATATATAAAATAATAACCGTTAATATGATAAAGTAGAAACACAAAGAGGAACAGCTGAATTGCAAGAAGAAAAAAAAACAGCCGCCAACACGAGAGTATTTAAAAGAATGTAGGATTTCAACGCACACGCATTGGTATAAGTCCTGATTACTTGACTTTCACTTGGCGCAATCGTCGTATCAACAAGGGGTGAAGGAGGCAAATTAAAGTCAATCTTATACGCCCTTCAACCGCATATTTAATTAAGTTTATGAAATAAAGTATTTTTATAATGCATGCATTACATTAATATAAAATAAAATGTAATAATAATGATAATATAACAAAAATATATAGAAGCGTACATACATACATATGTAAATGTAGTCGGTCACACAAACAAGCAAACAAATACTACACTCACCCACACACACACCATTAATTAGTTCCAAAACCACACAAAAACACAAATGGACGCATTATTATAACTACAATGTAGCACCTATAGCGTTATATCTAAATCTCCAAGAATAAAACAGAGGATTTATCTAAGCCCGCTAAAAATCAAGCTCCTTAATTAATATTCCCATTTGTGCTGATGCTCTCGACACTTCCGTAATTCACACAGTACAGTACATAGTTATTATCCAACACATTTAAAAAAAAATTAAACAACAAAAACTTCTGTAACAAATTATTTTAATACATATTTAAAATGCAATACATATAGTAAAGTTAAAACCCTATATCTCTTTTCAATCTTAATTAAGTTCTAGTCAAAATTCAACTTTTATCTTCATTGTTTGATGTAATTAATGATTAATTTTAAATTATGTAATATGTACACTCTATACTGGAATAAAGTTGCATCATTCACATTTTTAAAATATTTGGCTTTTTCATCAATTTGAAGAAAATAAATTTAAATACAATAATTGCATATCTTACTTTAGAGAATCGGGAAGCATTTGAGCGCTTACATTTATGTGTGTAAATATATTATAAAAAAAAAACATGGAATGTTATTTAGAGAATAGGTGTTCTTTGTTGGTATTGTGGTTTGTTTGTGCGTTGGCTTGACAGATAGAAAGTGATTATCGTGAAATTCCCTCCAAAAATTCGACTACTGAATAAATGAGTATTCATGTATTGAATGAAAATCTCAGTTTGCATTTGAAGTCTACGCGCCCATGTGGAGGAATTAATTGAAGAAATTGATACATTTTTTAAAATTAATAGTAAATTTGATTACATACATACGTATGTGCATAGCTGAAGCCTTGTGCATTTGCCATCAAGTCTGAAATACTTGTGTTGGTATTAAACATAAAATGTTTCAAATTGGCCCATACCTGAGATTTAAATAAAATATTCTCAAATAACTATTTCATATTTGAAAAGTTCCAAGTTCTATACGCTTTATAGATACTGGTGCTTACATATATGCATATATGTACACGTATGTAAGTATTAGGACATACGCTCGTACATATACATATAGAATTTACATCATGATGGTGATAGATACATTCATACATATATTTTATGTGTACTCATGTATCTACATACATATACATATATATGTAGATACATACATACAATAAAGAGACTTAAGCAGAAAGCAAATTTGGAACCTAATTATATTTGAAAACAGAATTACATTCGTTTAAGTGCACTTTAATCTTAGCTTTATACGGGTTGTATGAAATTGCCTTAAATTACAGAAAATTACTATCAAAAACTTAAATATACATTATGTGTGTATAATATTCACATATGTAGGTGCATTGGGGTGTGCGCATGTATCACATATATGAATTCGGATTGGTTGATTGCGAGGAATATATTAAAGAAAACGCTCCAGCTCGTAGGTACACAAAAAACCACATATGTATGTATCTAGTAATATCCACATATGCGTACCATACAGCGCGCAGATACACATATGTATACATACATATATATTGACGTGTGTATCTAGATATATGTATGCTATCTGTAATTCCAGTGAATATGTGACGTTAACTTCACTTTGAAATAATACCCTCAGTAATGCCCTAATCACGAAGCATGCGTCCATTTGCAAAACCGTGTGGTAACACTGCTCTTCCAGGCGCTTGAACGAATTCCCGGTCGGATAGAGTTCGTGTGTTGATGCCTATCTATTCATTGGAATATACATACAGTCATACCTATTTTAATGTAGTACATAATGATATACATACACATATTTCCAAAATGGAACCGTCACAGAAGTACTAACAACAAAATGTCGAAAATATTCATTAGAAACTATTGAAGGGATCATTATGAAGATCAATGCTGATCTTCTTAGCAATTCCAAAAAAATTCCCCAACAAAACACACAAGAGCATTGATTACTGATCACTACATACATGAAAATTTTTAGAAATTTTCCCTTTCTTTATTGCAAGCGCTGATGAAAATATTAATTTGGCGCCTAAAATTTTTACGAGCCATACCTACGTACATACACACATATTTATGCATATACACACAGCCAAACGCACTTTACATGAAATGCCGAGTTTTCTTTTAAAATTACGTGGCATAATTTTGTAGGGATATCCAAAATTACATAAAATTTTTGTCAATATTTTTATTTTGAAATTTACTACAATTTACTATACATACGTGTTTCTAAGCAAATTAATTATTTAGCATTTCAATTATAAAGTAATGATTAAAAAAATTCATTAAACTGCCAATAAATTTTTCTTGGTGTTCTTCCATTTTCCACAAAGCGGCTCGTTCCAATGCGATTTCGTGTATTTACATTTTTTTCGCAAGCCGTTGCTGGTTTTGGCCTCACCGCCTACGGAATTTTCTTGGTTAAATAAAAAATTAAAGTAAAAAATTAATTTGTTTAAAAAGAAACTTAAGTAGCCGTTTTTTATTTAACGGTAGTGTTGAAATTCGTAAAAGGTGACTTAAAATAAGAAAGTATTAAAAGTTAGCATATTAACTGCAACCATATTTTAGGGGTTACTATATTTTCAGTTAGTTTAAATTGGCTCTTAACATTGATTAAAAAAAAAGCGCAAAAAAATAAAAGCAAAATTGTTTGGTGAATAAATATACGATTGTGTGTCGTAAGTGCATTTTGGAGGGCCCGAGTTGAAATATGTGAAGAGTCCCCATAGAAAATCATGTGAAAAATCGATTGGAAAGTTAGACTGGAAATGTGTGTGAAACAACATCTTTCCATAAGTATTGGAATATAACGCTGTGAATTGTTTGCTTGAAACTTTTAGTGCAAAATGTCAAAGTTTGACAATCGCCGCCACTAAATGACATCAGTAAGAAAAACTTAGTAAATATTTGCAACAATTGCAAATACGCAAAAGCTATAAACGAATAAAAACAAATAGTGAATGGTGGGTATGAAGGTGCGGAGGTGAGGTTAACGAAAGCAAATAAATGTGGAAGAGCCAGGTGAATATTTATATAGACGTTCCCAGTTCCTGAGTGTGACGTTTTCGAAATAATGGAATCAAATCCCAATGGGATAAAAATAGAGCCTACACTTGAACAGCAGCAGCATTCACAGTACGCTACACATCTACTCGCATTGAATGGACACAATGCACGGCTACTCATTGAGCACCCCTCAACGTTGCTGGTGCCTTTGTCTCATCAACAGCAACAGCAGCAGCAACAACATCAACAGCAGCAGCAGCAACAACAACAGCATCAGTTACATCAGCAACACCAACAGCACCATTTTCAACAGCATGATCAGCAACAATTGCAACAACAACAACTACAGTTAAGCACATTAACCACAGCTTATCCACAGCCGCTATCACTTAAGCAACAGCCCGCATCAACCCCGGTGCCGGGAGGTGTTACCACAACTCACGGTCCCACGTCAGTTACATCTTCAACTTCCTCACGTACAGCAGCACAACGTTGGAACGAAAGTCCTGAAGCCCGCGCTCGTCGTTTGGCACGCAATGCTGAAAGGATGCGTGAAAGGCGTAATCGCGAAAGTGAAGACGAGTACCGTAAGCGTCTCTCACGAAACGCTGAAGCGAATCGTCTTCGCCGCCAAAATGAATCGGACATGGAAAGAGCTATGCGCTTGGTGCGTAATGCAGCCAGGCAAAGACTACGTCGGGCCATGGAAACACCAGAACAACGGGCAAAACGTCTTCAGAAGCTTGCTGAACGTATGCGACAATATCGAGCTAATGAGACACAGGAACAGCGAAAAGTACGTTTGGCAGAAATGGCAGCACGGGCACGTCAACGCATTGCTAGCGAGACAACAGAGCAAAGGAAGGAGAGACTAAGGAAGTTAAACGATTATGCAAAAAAGGTCAGAGAAACTAAGAAAAAATGCAAGCAGGAGCAAAGTGAGAATTCGCAGAATTCGAGCCAATTGCAAAGTACTGCTGCTGCCAGTTCCACTAATGAAAATATCAATTTGAACCAGGCAGCCCCGCAAACGACAGTCGCAACAAACACCAACATTGAGCAACAACAACCCCAGCAATCCAATGACGAACAACTAGCATCCTATCAAACCCAGCAGACGGCGTTAACCAATCCCATAGAGTACTATCAAAATATGTTCATGAGTCCAGCAACATTGAGACCTGCTTTACTTAAACAGGAGCAATTATCAACTCAGCAGCAGCAACAACAGCAGTCAATACAGCAAGGACGTTTTACACATCAACAGCAGCAACAGACTATTTTAGATTCGGAATCCAATAGCATGTTCCCACAACAACTGTACGATAACGACCAGAAGCCACCAGGTGCAACTGGAAACGGTTCTACATCATCATCTTCTAAATTACCACAAGCACATGTACCACAATTCAGCACAATAGCCAGTTCCCTTGAATTTTATCAAAATAAGTATATGAAGAAGCAGGAACTTCAGGTAAGTATAAATGATACTAAATAGGTGCAAAGATATCCAAATGTACACGAATATCTACTTGTCTGCCCCATTGTTCAACTAAAAACTTAATATTACAAATAACTTAACCTTAATCATAGTGTCTCTTTTCCAAAATTAAGCGTGTAAAGATTCTAAAAATTAAGATTCGTTCAGTAAAATTGTCTTTTAAATAAATAAAACAAAATTAATTCGTGAGTTTTTTAAAAAATCTAGTTTAAACGATAAATATGAGAATTATTATATTATTATAAACAATGGGAATGGGCGCTACATAAATACATCATTCTATGTATGTCTATATGTATGTATAATATGACAATTGTAAAGTATACATATGTATGTATGTATCTACCAAAAGTTATATATGTATACATATTTCCGCTGATGCATTTTATAACCAAAATTGAATGAAACTGGTAAATAGGAATTCTCTACAGAATTCTAGGTTGGTATATTAAAATAAAATTGGTCAGAATTATCTAAACAATGATGCAATGATGGTCTAATATGGATTTAGGAAGTTCTGTAAAACAAGAAAAACGAAGAAATTGAGGCCATTTTATTCAGTGGCAAGCGTTGGCAACTCCTTATTTAAACGTGATTGCAAACGAATGTTGGTATACGCAAAATGGAGAAAATGAATCCGGTTTTATTAAAAATGATGCTTTTTTCCTTATTGTGCTTTAGCGGCGTTGCCAGATGATTTTGTCGTGTAATATTTTGTGGTATTATTGTTTTGGAAAATTGTCTTGGAATATTTGCATTTCATCTCTGTTGAAGTTTCATTATATAAAGAGAATTCAAAAACATATTATGTAAATACTGACAAGGTGGATTCCGACTAGACTTAAAATTGTAAAAAAAAAAAGAGTTGATGAATGATTATCAAATTGGGCAGAATAAAACAGAAAACGAAAGCAATGGATTTTGACAGCCATACTGTCGTCAACTAATAAATTCACCATGACTGAAAAGTGATCATCATGAATCGTGATGTTGACAATAATCTTTGAAGGGAAGGGAAACAGTTTTTGAATTTTGAAAATCTTCATTCGTGAGATACAAACTTTGTCTATGTGGTAATGCGATATTACTTATGCATTATTCTCGCTATGTAGGAACCTTCATCACGAGGTGAATTTAAAATCGCTAAAACAAATTAATGGATTTGTCAAGTTTAGTTCGCACTGCCAAATTGTATTCTGGTGAAATAATTTACTTTGTATTTCGAGTTGTGTTGACCTTTGCTTAAATTTCTGGACGTGTGGCGACCAAAACGAAGGTTTCGTTTCAAAATAGCTACATATCCTTGATAAAATAACGCAACACAGTCAAAGATAATTGACCACATAAGTCTGTATTTTCGCTGTTGACAAATTGAAATCGACGAAAAAACATTTAATCCTGTTGCAGATCAAGTTTAATTGTTAAAACAAAACCATTGTTAAAGGACAGTTTTAGAGTCATATTGAATGCTACTCTTTAAAATAATATAATTTTTTGTTTATTCTTTAACATTTACAGAGTCTAATTACAAATAGCGACGATTTCGCGAATGTGGTTAAATCTTAACTTCTTACATATTTGAATATTTTTTCTTTGTATTTTTTATTCACAGCGGAGTATATAAATGGAGCCAACAACGGGTTTAACCTTACAAAAAAGAAAAACGTGAATTTTTAGTTACGTGCACCCCGATCGTGGTTCGGATTGAAATTTTTAAATAGTAATAGCAAATTATTTAGAAAAGCAAATTTTCATCTAGTTTCAGCATGCCACTTTTTATATTCTATTTGATATCTTTCAATAAATTGAAATTAAGATTCATTAAAATTAATTTTTTTTTTTTGACTTTATAATTTCTAAATTTTTATTTCTTAAATAGTATTTTTACCAAGTAGATTTTTAGTTGGCTTTATTTTTATTTTGTTTAGTATTTAAATTGGAGTAATTATTTTTTAGGTTTAGTGCATCCGTATAATTAAAGAAAAGTTGAATTTGTATACATAATGCTATTTATTTGTATGGTAACACTAGAAATGATTCCACAATTTGCGATACGGCAACTTTGGCCTTCCAATGCTAGATACATACGTACTGTGTAAATAAACGTCTTTATCTGGTAGTCGGTTTTCAATACGCTTCCACTTGTACATTTTTTTTTATTTGTCAAAGTCGTAAATTTTTTTTTGTAAATTATTCTATTTTTGTCTTGCGACCCTCGGGCGGTATGTGGCAGGCAAATAAATATTCTGCATTTGAAAAGGATGTGGGAAGCTATATTAATTTTCAATTGCAGACAAACAATTCAACGAATAACAACAGCGGGTCCGTTGGTGGCTCCAACTTGCAGAACGATTCAAAGGTGATCGTAGCATCCACGTCCAACAGTGAGAATCAGAAATTAAAAAGTTCACATCCTCAAATACAGAACCCTCCTACTCCGCTATATAACCAATTTCCTTATTTAGCTACATTTCCAGCTGCTGCAGCCAACTCGGGAACAACCGTAGTGACTTCACCATCCAGCACACCCACCCAAGCCACCTATTATCCAATGTACCACAATGGATTTCAACTAACTATTCCACCGAACACCGTGCCGCCACCATTTACGCCCGTGCACTTCACCAGCAATACGACCAACACTGGCACATCTCCAACGACAGGACAAGTGGGACAATCTGGTGTTGGAGGGGCTTATAACTTGCTTGCGAATTCATCAATATCCGCTGCTGCAGCGGTAGCAGCTGTTGCTTCAACTGGTACACAACAACAAACTATACAGGATTTTCCAAAACCGGTCCGCGGTCGCCCTAGAAAGGTCATCTTTAACAATACGGGCAACAACAGCAACGCTTCGGCAACAAACAACACGGGAGACACAAAAAACGGCATTTATCTGCTGCCCACTGGAACCACTGATTCGCCGGAGGACGCACTACGGCAACAAAAGGTGAGCGCCTTACTTGAGCAAGAAATTAACCAAATGCTCGCTTCACCACAGCAGACACCGCGCCGCGGACGTGGTCAATCACATTCCTCGCCTACAGGCTCGACCCGGGGTAGCGGGCATAAATATGAAACCGATGACGACAAGCGGAGACGGTTGGATAAGATGGCAGCACATCAAAGAGAGGTAAGAGCCAACGAAACACCTGAACAGCGAGCAGTACGTCTAGCTAAACTCTGTGAAAGAGCACGCCTGAAACGTGCCGAGATACGTGCCACCGAAACCGCAGAAGAACGGAAAGTACGTTTGTCCAAGCAAGCGGAATATGCTCGAATGCGGCGACTACGTACACATTCACGGCGACGCACTGAAGATCGAGCACGCGAACTTTATGAAGAACTCAAGAAAGATGTGGATATATCTAGTGATGGTAATGACTCCAATGCCAATACAAAATTGCAGTCACAGGATCAACAGCAAGATATACTTCAGCAGCAACAGCAATCGCAGCAACTACAACAACAGATGTTACACACAAATGACTCCTCAAATTTAGTGGCAGCACAACTTCAACAACAACAACAGCAGCAGCAACGCTTTTTAGCTTTAGCCGGTTCACAAGCACCTCAACAACAACAAGATCAACAACAGCAGCAGCAACAAATGTCAGCCTCCAACAACCCACAATACGGTAAACCGCCATGCAAGGAATATAATACACAGCCTGAGAATAATGATATGCTTAAGATTCTCGAACCTATCATCGTAATGAAAACAAAATAAAGCTAACTAATATATAATATAACTTAGCAAGTACGAATTAAAAACAAACAACCACAACAACAGCAAAAACAAAGCAAAATACAAAAAAAAAAATACACCATAATCGTATCAATAAAACACAGTTTATAATAAATACACCTTCACTTTATTTACACGATGCTGATGACGCCCACGTTCAAGTATAAATACATACATACATATGTACGTGCTTTCTTACTACATATACATGCGTATGTATGTATATATGTCAACACGTGGCTGAAACTACTATATATTTCACCGATAAAATCACGACAAAATCGCTGGAAACGGTAACTAAAGTAAAACTTTCTAGAAATTAACAAAATAAAAGAAAAAAACATAAACAAAAATAAAAATAAAAATAAAAATGTAGTAGTAGCGATTGGAATGATAACAATTTTGATTAACTACACCTATTAAAGGTATTTGCATACATACATATATATACACAAATATATATTCTAATGTAAGTTTATGTTAATATGTTTGTAGTATAACCAAGTACTACATACATATGTATACATATATACATAAAATATGGGCAAATTTATATACACTAGTAACACTCAATGTATGTAGAGGTCGTGTAAACATAATATTAATATTACTATGTAATAAGTATAATAATGATCATGATAAAGTAAAGAATAAAGTCAATAATTTTTTTAAAGTAGATTAAACACACAAATTGATGTACTCATTTACATATGTACATACCGTAAGTTCAATTGTATTAAGGCTGTACTTATATACAAAACATATAAAGTTGAAAGGTAGGCTTGTAGGTTTGTAGTTAGTCACCACTTAATTATGACGAGGGCTGCAGTAGGTTGTACATAGCTGTAGTTGAAAGAAAAACATTAATATGTATTCATACACGTATTAGCGATTTGAAAGTTTAGCTCGACAAATATAAGGACGGAGTCCTGAAAATGGTAAGAATCATCTTAAGGACTGACAGAAAAATAAAAAATCCGAAAAATTGTTCAGGTGCAAGTCATAACGGGTGAATACTACTTATAGTTATATAGTTCATAAGTACCCGATTTTCACGTTCCAAAGTGACTTTTATGTAAATATAATTGATGCTTTTTAATCGCTGAAGCGATTTTAAGCAGACACTCGTATTGAAATTATAATGATACCAGTCCAGTTATGGTATACCTTTCTTGAACTCACTATTTTTTTTCAAACCACGAGATTTTTGGCATATGGTGCTTTAATGAAAATCTGTCATTTTCGTACATGTTTACATGTATGTACATATTTATTCATATAAACATTTTCAAATGTGAGTACCGTTTTCCACCCGGTATTATGATGCTATCTCATTGTCATTGTCACTAAAAAAAGAATATGCTTGTTTGATTCCAGCTAAAATTCAACACTTTGCACTCAGTCGATACTGAATATTCAGCGGATTCTATAGAATGGTGCACACATCCACGCTACCAATCCTATTTCGTTTGCGGCACTTATCAATTAGAGGAGCAATCCGGCGATGCAAACGCAACACGTACCAGACGTAAAGGACGCATCTATCTCTATAAGTTTTGTCCAACCGGCAAAATGCTCACCGAAGTGCATCGCGTGGAGACAGCGGCGATACTAGATATGAAATGGTTAACGGTTGAGCCCAACGAAAATCCTCTACTAGCTGCTGTCAACTCGTTTGGTCAGCTGGAGTTGTATGTAGTGGAAGGTGAAACCTTAAAAATTACGAGCAGTTTGGATTTGAATGCCGAATGTGATGATCTACTCGCATTGTCATTAGATTGGCGTTATACACCAGCCGGCCAATATCAAATTTTGGTTTCGGACTCTAAAGGTGCAGTGAATTTAATCGATTACACGCCACAGTGTGAGCTAAATAAGGCGCAGGTGTTCGCTGCGCATGGTTTCGAGGCATGGACTTGCGCTTTTGATAAATGGGATATGAATCGTGTTTATAGCGGCGGTGATGATATACTTCTGCATGCATACGATCTACGCTCCTGTATGCGTATATTCACCAACAAGTCGCACAATGCGGGCGTCACTTGCTTGCTTAGTCATCCAGAGTGCGAGCACTTGCTGCTGACTGGTAGTTATGATGAACACTTGCGTACATTTGATACACGCGCAATGAAACAGCCACTGGGCGAGTTGAATCTTGGCGGTGGCATTTGGCGTCTCAAGTTGGATCCCTTAAAGCGTGATTTGGTATTAACCGCCTGTATGTACCACAATTTCAGCATTGTTCAGCTTTCGCATGGGATGCTGGAGGAGCCCAGGCTCGTTGGTGAATACTATGAGCATAAGAGTATTTGTTATGGTGCCGATTGGTGTCGCGACGTGCAAGATAAAGAGGATTTGTATACGGCAACATGTTCGTTTTACGATCACAAACTCTGTGTTGCGCAGGTGGAGAATGAAGAGAGCGAATGAAAAGCATCGACAGAGTAACGGTATCATCAATAGGCATTTGGGTTATGATTTTTTATTTATTTTTTTATATAATTTAAAAATTATTATTTCATCAGAAAAATATTACTCTCTTGAAAAAATACAGTTCTTACTCAAAAACAACAAAAAAGGTTCTTCAATCAAAATGTACTTGATTGCAGTATGATTTTTACCAACCAGAATCTCAGGAATATATATATTGTATATAATTGCTCCTCCTTGCGTCTTGATGTTTTCCCAACAAATGGTGGGATTTACAGTTTATACTAACCCGCCTCCGAATTGCTGATGGATTTTTATGAGAAGCCTTTATTTCATGTCAGAAATTTACTCGGAGGGGTTGTCAATCACTGCCGAGGGGCGACCGCAATTGGAAAATTTAACTTAATTTGTTATCTAACTTTTGGACGTTGATCGTTTAAGGTTTTGAGCCCGGGCCTTCCGAATGGCAGTACGTAATCACATCAACCAAAAAGAAAGGATGCCTCTAACAAATTTCTAAAGAGATGAAGTATTAACTATAAAATGCAATTCGATGCCAAATTCAATATATCCCTAGGAGAACAAAGATCATGGAATCAAACGCCGGTTCAGAAAGAAATAAAAGCACACTCGCGTACACAGATGAACCAAAGGCTACAGATGGCATTGTTGCAGGTATCACGGGCCCTAGAAAAGAGCTTTCAATACCTATGGGGAAGTATCCCAGCTTCTTCCAAGCAGAGGTGTTCGCCATTACAACATATGCCGAAATCATACGGAAAAGGAAGACCGTAAACCAACATGTAGCTTGCAGTGACAGACAGACCGCACTAAAAGCAATATCATATCGTACAATTGAGCCTTATATGGTATGGAAATGTGTCAGGAATCTTTATAAAGTAAGCGAACGAAACAAATTTCAGCTCAACTGGGTGCCGGGACATACAATTATTAAAGGGAGTGAAATAACAGATATACTTGCAATAGAAGCTCGCTCGATCTCGCCTGTTGGATTAGAGCCATTCTTCCTTTTAGGTCCTCACTCATTTAAAGATGAGAGGAGATAAGAAGGGAAGAAATGAATATAAGAAATAAATACTGGTACTGGTCACTAGTAGTGACGGGATGAGACAATCAAGGAAATTTATAGAAGATTTACAAACATAAAATTACTTAGTAAGAATAACTTAAGAACACTGACAGCATTTCTTACAGAACATTGTAGACTGCGTTGGCAAATATAAATTCTCGGAATCGCTTCACCGATACACTCACCTGTTTGAATGCGAAGCTGTCACTTGAAGAAGACCGATACATCGAGGATTCATTCAGCCCGAGCAAAATCACATCAAATTACTCAACTCCTCTAACCTGCTGCGTTTTATAAGGGCACGAGGACTGGATAAAATCCGAGGGCGCAATAGACCACTGGTCGCGGTGCATATCCTCCTTACACATCTATCTAACAAGCTGTGTTTAAGCGTGGTGAAAGGGTAGTGACGATTAATTCGGTCCTACTTACTCGCAGAAACGACAGATTTAGCTTCAAATCGCACTTGTCCTATACATCTGGTTCAAACCCCGAAATCTTCACATTTCGGTATTCTAAAAATGGTAAACCAATGTAAGCGCCCTGCGATCTCTCCACTGGTGCAGTCAAGCTTTGAACCAATGAAAATTCTTTATCTAACACGCATCTTCTTACACTGCACCCTTCGGTCAGGAAATCCAACTCGAACGGAGTAAAAAATGCCGATACTACATATCAGCTCAGCGGAAACTCACCAAAGTCGTTAACCTGTTGTTGATCGCTCTAACTATAACTTACTAAAGGAACCTGGAAAGCTCACTAATAGAGACATCAACATGGTTTCCACAAAGTGCACTAGCCATTACTCCACTAAAGTGAATCAACTATAAGTTATCCTGACAAACTTTAAAACCCAGAAAATTTAAAAAAAAAAATTAAAATTAAATAGACTTCATATCGTGGAACTCCCTACAGGAAAACCTTTATCTGTTATGCAGCTGACAGCTCGGTCTTGGCAATGGACAATCTAGTTCGAAGCTGAACGGCGGGTTCGAATCCTGACATTTCTCACTCCTTCATGGTAAGGAACACAACACTTTTCCCCCAGACATCTATGATGAACCTTTTTACCAGTTGGACGGAGTACTCGATAGATTGATATGTTAAAATCTATTACGTCTAAAGCCTAAAAATCATTAAATAACCGAAGCTTATTGGTAACTGTTGCGATCGAGTACATACAAAACTGTATTTGGAAATTTTCATTTTATTCAATTTATTACAACAAATTCTGTTCAATATAAAAAAAAAATCTTTAAATAATTATCTTTTTACCGTAAAGTACATTATATTCAAAATTTGTTTTTTTTTATTTTTTATTTTTTTTTTTTAATTACCAAATAATAAGTAATAAAATCACTGAAAATGAACATAAGAATTTTATCCTTTTATGCTTTAATACCTCGTGGGTAAGTCTTAAAACGTTAATACAATAATAATTAAATGTATAAATGTTGGCATGTATTTATTGAGTATAAATTAAAGCACATCGTTTAATTACACAGTAATCTATAAAAACTTTACTTTCAATGAAAAGAAAACAATGAACTCACCACACCTAACTCACTCATATATATAATACATACATACATGTGTAATACGTATGTACGTACAATTATCGGCATATTTGTCCATTTTTGATCAACTCCAACAATTGCATTAAAATTGGTGAGGACTGCACGATTCCCACATCGTGTGGATCCAAATTGACCAGACATTTAAAGAATAGCGATGTCATACGTTGATCGTTCGCCTTCAAAATAGCAGAGGCCATTTGATGCAGGACATTCACACGAAAACTGTATGTGGAAATATCGCTGAACTTCTCTATATGGTCAGCAAACATAGTCCAATCTGCTTCCAAAATTATAGCTAGTAAAGCGTCTATGGTACTTCGAGATCTGTCCCGGCTGTAGGTCAATATTTGTCGACACGCATTCACTTTGTTTAGGCCGCAGTATTGCAGACCTTGGAATATGATTGCGAAAACTTCAGCACCATCTTTGTAACGCTCGCAATCGCGCACCATATGCAGCAATTTGAAGCGATTGTTACGCTCAGCGTAAACTCTGCAGAATTCGTGCACATATTTACGATAGACAATTTCATGATTATAAGCGAATTTATACGAAATACTCAAGTCCACCTCGGATAATTTCACCAATACAGCTCTGACAGTTGCCGGATCGCAGAATGAGTGTGAGAACTTGCATGCTGGCTGTGTGAGACATCCGCCCACCAAGAATGGCAAACATGTAATGCCGAAAGTTTTTGCAACCACAATTGTTGGTGGACCATAATTTACGCCATCACCACCGTTACCCTCATATTCACCGCGTTCACAATTATCTTGCTGTGCATTCAAGTTCTTGAAATCGTTTACATTATCTTCTAGATTAGTTGCCGGCAAATGCAGCATGGGGCGAAACAGTGGTGTCACTGTATCGAGCGGAGTTTGCGTAATAGGCTTGGGTGTAACCTGAAATGTTGGTTGTTGCAGCGTTAGGGGTGTTACGGCGCATACATTTTGTACGGTGCGTGTTATTTTTTCCAAGTTAACGAGTTTACTGACCCCTGGTTCAGTTTTAATAATTTGCTGATTGAATGCGTTTGTCGGCAATATGACCATGGGCAATGCTGCCGCTGTTGCTATAGTCGCTTTTGTATTGCCATTACCGTGTTTTGTTGTTGCTGTAGTTAATGAAATTTTCGGTATTTTAAACTCTTTAAACGTTTCGTTTAGCACTTTCGTTGTTTCCTGAGAATCTTCTATTTTTATTTTAACTGTACCTACATCGCCTGCTGTTTCGCTATTTTCTGCTTCCATACAGATGTTGTATTTTTGATCTGCCATTGGGATTCCAGGCGTATTTCTGTCAACTTCTGCCAGCCGCTCATCATCTGAACTGGAAGGGTCAAAAAGGCAATATTCACATAACTTCAAAACCATATTTATATATTCTTTTTTACCCAAAACATGATGTTGCAAGTGATAGTGCGTCGTCTTCGAGTTCAACTTCGAAATCGAGACAATCCTCATCTAATTTCGATTCCATCTCCAGCATAGATAAATTGTTTACTATATCGCGTTCTTTTATCTTTAAGACATCTGGCTTTTGATGGCTATGAGGAGAGTGCGTTGAGGGAGCAATAACTTTTTCCATGTGATCTACCTGAGCTGTCTGTGAACACATTTCGGGGCATATGTTACACATATCATTTTCTTCACAATCGCTTTTGTTTAAATTTGGACTTTCTGCGCAGGAAATATACATATATTAAAGAAATAAACAATAAAATAGCTTCAACATTTATAATTCACACCTGCTTCGAATTCGTTATAGGAATTTAAGTCTTCCTGCATACAGCAGATGGCAGAATCTTCCAGAGCAGACGGTTGTTTTTTATCAGCTGGGAATTACAATAATTAAAAAATTACACGTAAAATAAAATCTGCATTTCATACTCTCTATATTTTTATCGTGGGTACATGGCTTTGCCTTTGTTTCTTCTCCGTTCCTTTCACTCCCTCTACTCTGCAGAAAATCATCACCTACAAGTTCCGCTAATGCAAAGAAATAAATAAATTTCGTTGATTACATTATACCAAAGTAACTCACACTCAACCGAAGTTATGGTTTCTCTGGCCACACTCTCTATTTTGTCACACGAATTAGAAACCAGCGAATTTCCTATACCTGAATCGTTTCCGATTTTAACTAGCGGTAATTAAGTTTTAAAATTATCAAATATAATTAAGTATAAATCGCTTTACTCACCACTTTTATCGTTTGTGCTCAATCCGTTAAGCTCGTTGTTATTATCAGATTGCTGTTGTATTTCTGGATCTTCTTCGTTGCTTTCAAAATCCGTCTCAAAATCAAAAGCGAATTCTTCGGAATTTGGCTCCACTAATGATAGCTCTGGCATTGGCAAATGCACACTGACATTATGACTTTGATGTTCTTCAATTAAATCGATACTTTTAGAAAGGTCAGCATCCGACGATAAGACGGTCTCATTATGAATCTTTCTATTTTCATTCCCATTAATCGTGGATTCATCTTCAATTTTATTTGAATCTTCCTGATTTATATCCAGGTTTGAACTGCTCGCTAAGACATCGTAGTTAGATTTCAATTTATTCTCCAATAGCGCATCTGTATCAACAAAGAGGAAATCACGTGAATCGCTATGTAATTCGTTAATATGATCTGGCAGAGGTCGGAGCGGTTGTTTCTCTATTTTAGCTTCCCTAGATGCCGAGCCTACGTCGAATGATTTGGATTTTACATTTGAAAGTTGGTTATCTCCTGCAGCACGTTCTTGACTTATGTTCTCTTGACTCAAATTCAACACGCCAACACTTTCTTGACTCGAATTCACCTCATCAAAACTATATTGAGAGAAATTCACCTCAACCCTCTTTCCGATTCCGGTGTTTTCCGTGTGTGCGTCCGATGTATTTGTATTAGTTTCCGTTCTTTGTGTAACAGCATTGACTTTCTGGTTTCGTACACAAGCACTTAAATTTACTTCAGTTGGTGTGATATTTTCACATGAGTCATTGAATTTACTGTTACTGCGAGTTTCAAGTTCGCTATTATTATTGCAGACATTATTTTCGGCAAGAATTTCGTGATATTCAAAATCAGATATCGGCAGCGTGTTGTTGTTGTTTGCACCAATTGCTAATACTTTAGATTTAAAAATAATAATAATAATTTTTTCATAATTAGTTCAATTAATTTCACATCTACTCACCGCAATCTGTCACAGAATTAGCTGCAACTGTTGCTGATGTGATCACCTGACTGTTAGTCAGTTGCATAAATGCGTTGATATTATCGTCAAGGTCAATCAGTGGCATATCCAATGCTGCCCCAAACGAAGCATAATCATTGCTATGAAACACTTCTGCTTCTGTTGAAACATTTAACCTTCCAGGAGTCTCGACGTTTAGTGCATGCACTAAACTATTTGATTTAATAGATAAATCGAGTGGCTTTATATCATCATCTACAATTTCGGGCGATTCGATTCGTGCTTCTCGAAGTTCGGCAGTCGGAAAATTTATTGTCGATTTCTTAGACAAATCCAACAGAATATCCGAAACATGTGCTGGCGGTGGAATGATAGCATTTTGTGCTTGTGTGTCTTGTACCAATACTGGTAAGGTGGATGGCCCATCTAGAACGCGGGCAATAACATTACCAGCATCTCCTACGTTGTCTATATAATTCACCTGTAATGTACAAAACCCGCAACAATATACATATAATATTTCGAACACGTATTTTCTCTATTCTTTCTATTTCTAATAAGAAAAATATATATATATATGTATATTCCATTAAATACACTAACCAATTCTGTCATATTGAATTCCTCTTGGCCGCCATCGATTTGAGGGTTTTCCGTTTGCACGAGTTGGCAGCTGCCTCCATTTGCCCAATCACCTTCAAGGTAATATGTAATAGGTTGCTGTTCGCTCGAGTCTAAGTAATGTGTCGTTGAGGTAACTTGTTGTTGAGATACTGAAGACGAGGCTGCTGGTGTTGCTGAACCAGCCATATTACAAGTGTTGGAGAAAAGTTCAACATATTTAGCCAAATCACTTTTTGGTATTTCCGCAATTTCTTCACAATATTGTTCTTTGGCATTGTTTTTCGGTTTCCGACCGCGTTTCTTGGGTGGAGCTTTATCACCAAACCTTTTCTCTTTCCGTGTTCGCTTTTTCTTTGAAGTCTGCTGCTTAGAAGTTTCAATGAGATCAGGTATATGCACATCATAATTACTACTTTCATTATTATTTATATTATCAAGTACATTGGTGGCCTGCAATGTTTCAGATTCATTATTCTCTACGAGCACTTGAGATATTAAACGTGATAGCATTTCATCTTCTTGCCTTTCATTATTTTCATTACTAGGTTCAATTGTGTTTGTTGATATTGCGATATTTTCCTGCAAATGCCGGTTAGTCGCATTCTCTCTTTCCTTGTGCGTGGCATAATCTAGCATATGACTACCATTTGTACTATTACGCAGTATGCCATCAACCCGTTTACTAAATAATCGCTGAGAAGCCTCAAGACAACCTAAATCTATAGAAATTTCCATTTTATCTACTTTATCTGTGCATTTTGCAACTTTTGGTATTAATATTGATAGTGAAAGGGGCGCATCTGTTTGCTTTCCATTATTATGTGACTCCACAATATCAGTGTTACTATATACACTCGAAGTTGCTCTTCGTTTACGCGCAGCCACCCGTCGTGGCCTTTGGCAACCAAAGTATTCATCGCCACTTGACTCTATCAAAGACAAGGCGGGCGACATTAACTCTGAGTCTGGGTAATTGGTTTGAATGTGATCGTTGGCAGCATCTTTACACTTTTCTAACAGTTGTTTTATGTTTGTAAGCGCAACCACTGGATCCAATGGAAGTAATTGTACTTCAGGATAACTAGAATGTAACTGCATAAATAAACGATTACGTCGCTCTAACTTTAGGTCCTCACTATCACGTTTTAATTCGGGATGGTATTCATATAATTGATGTTCAAGACGCTTGAGCTCATCGGTTTCTGCCATTATTGTTTTTATTAACAAGTAATTCGGTAATTTAAATTTCACTCGATCGATGTAAATAATTTCAACAAATTGATCATCACACGGTTATAACGGATAAACGTTACAAATGGCGCAAACGACGCGTGAAACTTTTGTCACAGGGTTGTCATAAACGTTAACCGTTTGGCGAAATAGTTGGTTTCATATCCGCGCTATTTATTTACCATTATTACTTTCTTGGTTTCAAATTGAAAATATTTAAACAGGCAAAATAAATATTTGGATACGGTAATTATTTAACTTCGGAAATTAATAATTTAATAAAATGTTCAATTTGGGTGTGAATGGCTGATGCATACATACATAAATATACCGTTTTATTACGTCTAGTATATCAATGGACGAAATAGGCTATTACATTTCCACGCTGGACATCGACGGCGTTTTACTAACAAAAAGGAGTCAGATGTCGAAGAAATGTTATCTAGAGATCTCAAAGTTGGAATACCAAGAGGCATTTCAGGCATCTAATGAGTGGAATATTCACTTGGCGTATCTAAATTAGTGGCTAAAAGAGTGGAAGCCGTCGACACACAGCGACATATTTGGTTTAAGAGTGGGTGAAACTCTCGGAAAATTGCAGCATCCAGATTGAAATATCCCCAAATGGGTTGAGGATCATCGACTTCGCTGGGACCAGAAATATGGTTGTCTGTAGTACTAGATTCCAGTGCGATAAAATTCATCAAGCTACCTGGCTGTCTTCAAATCGAAAAATTTAAAACCAGAAGTGTCATGTTGCGATAGACGGACGGTATGTCTCTAGTGTTCTTGGCGTCTGTACACTCCGAGGGCACAACATCGAGATGTACCACTATCTTTTGGTAGCAAAGATACGCACCCGTCTCTTTGCAGGAAAAAACGTCGTCCACAAACACAAGGACTTTTCGAAGTCGAAAAGCAGCAATCACAACAGATATCCGATTGATTTTCTACTCGGCTTACATTCCTGCACTTGGAGAGCACTCATCAGCAACTCGGTAGGTTGGAATTTCGCACTCTCTCTATGTACAACTGCAAACGAAACTACCGGGTTTCGAAAAGGTGGGAAAAACAACTGGTACGATGAGGATTCTAAATACACATTAAATAAATAGATAATTACAAACAACTCTGAGTGAAATCCAATTTTGGTAACTGACCCCAATAATATAATCGTGAATAGTCTAGAAGCAGCCCAGATAAACATGTCATGGATGAGAAATCTGAGGACGTAGATGAAACCATACTGATGGGCGATATTCCTCGGCTCCTTCGGCATGAAGAAGGATGCTAAGTGATGCCTGTCGCCGGTTCTAACGGCTGCACTGGTATTGCAGCGAAAGCCGCTGTAAGAGGACGATGGCTTACCTGATGGCTGGGGGAACGTGCACCGGAATATGACACTGGTCTAAGTACAAGCTCCTGGATTAAATCATTTTTTTCCAGGGAAAGGTCTTCGCAGAACTTGTCATGGAAGACCCCCTAGACCATGTTCCATGCCAGCGAAAGTAAGAACATGCAATCTCGATAGGATTGCTAAAGACAAGCCATAACGTACTGGAGCAGAACGGTCATTACCAGTGATACATATAAGAAGGACAGCGGAGAAGACATGATGAGAATGCCTAAGACATCTTTTCAATGTAAAAACTAACGTTACAAAGCTCTGTTAACTTTTTAATTGAAATCCGAATACACATAGTAACCAGCAAAAGGTACTTTCCCTAATAAACCGAAAGCGGTGACCTAAGTATATACTATGTGTATTTGTCCGTTAAAAAATTTTATTCCATACAAAAATTAAATTTTTTTATCAGATGATAATTATATGAGGTATGGATAGTATTGGTAGTAGGAATATTTATTATATATATAATTGGTGCATTGTAACTGCTGAAGCGATTTCCGCCGAGCTCCTCCTCCAATTTGTGGTTTTGCGTCTTGATGTTTATACTAAGCCGCCTAAGAACGCTGATGGTTTTCTTATGAGGAGCTTTTATTTCATGTCAGAAATACATTCGAAGGTGCTAACATTTCCTTCCGAGGGGCGACCGCAACATTGTACAGTCTATATAAAAGGCTGTATAATGGACCGCAATTAGGAAATTCAGCTTAATTTTTTATTTAAATTAATTTTCTATTACTTTTAGATGTTGGTCGCACAGGGACCTGAGGCCGAGCCTTCCGAATGACAGTAAGCAATGCTACACACGCGGTTACCGCGGCCGCGGTAGTAGTAAGTGTTGGAAACTCTGGATGTGGTTTAGGTAATGACTAATTTTAACGAACGCATTACAAATACTGTCTATCAACACCTGATATTTCTACTGTCAAACCAAAGTTTTTTGGTTACATCATTTGCTTTTTGTAGACATCATAAATTGGGAAGAAAAACATAGTGAAAAACTTTACAGAGACAGAAAAATAATAGTAAAATAAGTGGAATTTAATTTAGCTGCATTGGAGGCAGTCGGGCTCGAGTTGACAGCAGTGCGTGAGCTGAAGACGCGCCTAAAATGACTGAAAACAATCAGGTTAGTTGAGCTCTCATTTGGCAGGTAGTGCGTTCTACATATGCACCTTTTTCGTGTGACGATAGCTATGATGACAATCTGGCTTTTTCCACGAAGTATTTAGTTAGAAATTTGACTAACATCGTAGTATGCAAATAATATATTTGGCAGTATGTGTGCTCAGAAAAGTATTTATTTTGCGTCTTTATTTCGCACATATGTATGTATTTTCCATATTCTATAAACATTGCTAAAATCACCTATAGACAAAATGAAAAAATAAATTAAACAAAATCAAATTATTGCGGGCATGACATCTGAGTGGTATAAGTGTATTATAAGCTGATAACATTATTTTTATATAGGTACATGTTCATATTTAGCTGGTGCTAGTAGTCCCAACAATACTAATCATTTATTTATTTCTCTAATGATGTCGATTACTACTTCGATTCGATACCTACATATGTATATGTTTTAATATTTATTGTTTTGCACCATTATTTCAATTTTCGCATATGTTTTTGAATAGTTTCTGTGTAGTCAATAGCTTACCACAATTTGGTTTATTGTATTATTTATATATGTACTTTTTATTTCCAGCCACTTTTCAATTGAATATATACCAACACTCGCGTTTCACAATATCGTGTACACTCTTAGTAAAAATATACAAAGCATACTCTGAAAAATATCGAGTTGTGCAAACTTTGAAAAACTTTTCGTTAGTGACAATTTAATGACAAGTTGATTTTCATTGCTTTGTCGGATAACAACGAAGATTATAACGAGCTATTTTATTTCGATAAAGATTTTGTTTTTCACCTTGACCTTTTGTTATACTGTCACTCGCTTGTAAGCTGTTAAAAAGTATTGTTGGATAATATAATATAATATAATTGCATTGTTTATATTAAGAACGTTTTATTTTGGTTATAATGGCGGCCTATTTGAATCGCACTATATCGATGGTGACTGGAAATGGCGCCACTGCTAATGCAAACACCGGCGCTACCACATCAAACTATAATACCAATGCATTGATGGTCGAAAATCGTACTATGCAAAATGCGATTGACAAATCGCCATTGCAGGTGTTTGTTAGAGCTAAAAAGAAGATCAACGATATCTATGGTGAGATTGAGGAATATGTTGTGGAAACTACACAGTTTATCAATGGTATGTAGAATGCTATACTTTTTTTTTTTGGTAAAAATCTTGTAAATAATGAAACATTTTCTCTATCCAGCACTGCATGCTGAAGCGGAAATTGTGGACAAAGCTGAACGTGAGCTATTCGAGAGTTATGTAAACAAAGTTGCGGCTATACGTGAAGTACTTACTAGGGATCACATGAAAGTCGCTTTCTTCGGGCGCACATCGAATGGCAAAAGTTCTGTTATAAATGCCATGTTGCGTGAAAAGATTCTACCTAGCGGTATAGGTCATACAACAAATTGCTTTTGTCAAGTGGAAGGTTGTGATGGACAAGAAGCCTATTTGATGACAGAGGGTTCGAATGAAAAACTCAATGTGGTGGTAGGTGGTGGGGAAACCATTTGTTAATATATATAATTATTATTATAATTTTCGACTGTTATGTTTATTAGAATATCAAACAACTAGCAAATGCACTTTGCCAGGAAAAGCTTAGCGAAAGCTCATTGGTACGAATTTTTTGGCCAAGAGAGCGTTGCAGTCTCTTGCGTGACGATGTTGTCTTCGTGGACTCACCAGGTGTGGATGTATCAGCCAATTTAGATGATTGGATAGATAATCACTGTATTAATGCCGATGTCTTTGTGCTCGTCCTAAATGCGGAATCAACTATGACACGCGCTGAAAAACAATTCTTTCACACAGTTTCGCAAAAATTGTCTAAACCAAACATTTTTGTATTGAACAATCGTTGGGATGCTTCGGCTAATGAGCCTGAATTTCAAGATTCGGTAGGTAGTACCTTAAATTAAAATTATTTTTTTTTACTATTTTTTCTATGTAACTTACGTAGTTTGTAATTGAGTTTGTAATCTTAACTTTTTTTCGTTAAAATGTATAAACTATTAATGTTGACTGCGTAAGCAGGAGCTCGAAAAGGTAAACAAATTCGAATACCTTTGCTAGCTTTTATACATGCGTATATACATATATACATACATCTAAACATGAATACGCTTGGCTGCGTTTAATTGTAAATATGTTTACTGCATACAATCCACGTTGTTAAACGAAAATTTTGGTAAAATCAATATTAAAAGTAAATAATTACAATTAGACCAAGTCATTTCTTCAGCCTTCATAAGAGCTTTTTCATCAGTTTTTATTATCCACTTGCTCTTTCTTAACACTTTTATCAACCACTACTGACCAACAAACGCTATCATTTTAGGTAAAGTCGCAGCATACAGAGCGTTGCATTGACTTTTTAACGAAGGAGTTGAAAGTTAGCAATGAAAAGGAGGCAGCTGAACGCGTATTTTTCGTTTCAGCACGTGAAACTCTACAGGTAACCATACGAATTATTTTTAATATGAAAAAAAATTGCTAAAAAAGATGCTTAAACTCACTATTTTCAATTGTATCAGGCTCGTCTTGAGGAAGCGAAAGGTAATCCACCGCATCTGGGCGCCATTGCCGAAGGCTTCCAAGTACGTTATTTCGAGTTCCAAGATTTCGAGCGTAAATTCGAAGAATGTATCTCACAAAGTGCTGTCAAGACTAAATTCGAACAACACAGCTCACGTGGCAAAAGTCTCTCCGGCGACATGTGTTCAATGTTGGATAACATACACGAACGCACTACTATATTCCGCAATCTGAAATTAGATCAAAAAACACTGCTAACGGAACGTATACAAGGCACAGAGACGCAAATGATGCAAGTAACCAGAGATATGAAATTGAAAATACACAATATGGTGGAAGAGGTTGAGCAGAAGGTGTCGAAAGCGCTCAATGAGGAAATCTGGCGTTTAGGTGTATTGATCGATGAATTCAATATGCCATTCCATCCGGAGCCTTTAGTATTGAATATCTATAAGAAAGAACTAAACTCACATGTTGAGTCTGGTTTGGGCTCGAACTTGCGCGCTAGACTTTCAATGGCTTTAGCAATGAATGTGGAGGCAGCACAACGTGAGATGACAGGTAAAACTGTGAAAAATTTATTCAAATTAAAAATAAATTAATTAACGTATATTTATATTAAATTTATTCCCAGATCGCATGTACACCTTGGTGCCGAACGAAAAGGTGGCCGTACAAACGAAAATCGCCACCCGCACACAACCCTTTGAAATGTTATATTCCTTGAATTGCCAGAATTTGTGTGCCGACTTTCAAGAGGATCTCGAGTTTAAATTCTCCTGGGGCATTACGGCGATGATTCAGCGCTTTACTGGTAAAGTGCGTGAGCGCAATAAGAAGGGACCAGCCGCTTTGATGAACAGGCCAAGTAGTATTGGTGTAAGTAAAATCTGCACAAAACATCCCAAGTCATCAAAATATGAATGCATAAAACGTTGAACTCTCAATAGCTATTTACTTATTTTGTTTATTTATTTCTTCTTATTTTCTTCAGAATTTATCACCTTCCACACCCGGCACCGATACGCCTTTATGTCTGATACCACGCCCGGTTGGCGGCATTACACAGGAACAACTCTCCGTGATTTCACGTTTCGCGCTGGCTTCAGTTGGCTCTCAGGGTACCGTAGGTGGACTCATTGTTGCGGGCATTGTACGTTTTTTTTAACACTAAATCATATGTTTTTAAATATTTACTATTTATACTTCTTCCTTCATCTGCAGATGCTCAAGACCATCGGTTGGCGCGTATTGCTCGGCGTTGGCGCTCTGTATGGTTGTATATATTTGTATGAACGCCTCTCTTGGACAAATTCAGCGAAAGAGCGTGCATTCAAATCTCAATATGTACGCCATGCAACTAAGAAACTGAAAATGATTGTCGATTTGACATCAGCGAACTGCAGTCATCAAGTTCAACAGTAAGTATGATTTTAAGTTTTTAGTAATATAATTTTTTCTAATAATTTTTTTTCTAATAATTTTTTTTTCTAATAATTTTTTTCTAATAATGTTTTAAATATTTGCATATAATTTTTTAAATATTTTTTAGTATATTATTATTTAAAAATTATTTTACTAATGCAATTTCTTAAAATATTATTATCTAGATATACAATTATTATGTACTGTTTTATATAAATTTTGTAAGAAAGGTTTTTTTAATATAATATTTAAAATATTTGTTTTTAATATAATATTAAAGTATTTTTTTTTAAATAATAATTAAATTTTTTTATATAGCATTTAAAATAATTTTTTTATATAATATAATATTTAAAATATTTTTTTTTTATATAATATTTAAAATATTTTTTTTAATATAATTTTTAAAATATTTTTTTTAAATAAATTTTTAAAGAATTTTTTTTAAAATAATTTTTAAAATATTTTTTTTTAAAATAATTTAAAAAAAATTTTTTTTTTTTGAATAATATTTAAAATATTTATTTTTAATATAATTTAAAAATATATGTTTTAGTAATATATTCTTTTAAATATTTATTTTAGTAATGAAATTTTTTTTATTAATGTAATATTGTATTTTAAAATGTGGTTATCTATATATTTTATATTTACATATATACTGGTTTATAAAAATTTTGTAAGAATGTTTTTTTTATTATAATAATAATTTAGCATAATATAATAATTTTTTTTTGTAATATAATTTTGTAAAAATTTTTTAGTATCATATTTTTTTTGGATTATTATTTATTTTTGTTATATTATTTATTTTTAAATATTTTTTTGGATTCAGTTTTTTTGTAAATCTTAATTTTAATAATTTTTTGAAATATATTTTTATTGTTATTTATTATTATATATAATATAACTTATCTATTTTTAAATATATGTTAGGATATCGTTTTTTTTTAACTATATTTACGATATAGTTTTTTTAAATATTTATTTTAAAATTTTTTTTATTGCAATATTATTTGTTTTTAAATATTTTATAAGGTTTAGTTTTTTTTCGTAAATCTTAATTTTAATAATTTTTTTAATTATTTTTTTTTACAATATTATTTGTTGTCCAAAAAATTTTTAGGATAGTTTTTTTTAAACTTAATTTAAATAATACTTTAATATATTTTTTTATGCATTATTTATTTATTTTAGTTATTTAATTTATATTTAAATATTTTTTAGGATGGTTTTTTAAATCTTTATTTAAAAAAAATTAAAATTTTTTTTTTACTATTATTTATTTTTAAATATATTTTATGATAAAGTTTTTAAGAATCTTCATTTTAATAATATTGTGAAAAATTGTTTTTTGTAATATTGTGTATTTTAATTATATTATTTATTTTGAAATTTTTTTTTGTAATTCAATATATAATATTTTATGTTATTTATTATTATTATATTATTTATTATTTATTATTATTATATTGTTATTAAATATATTATTATTTTTTATTTATTTAGAAAAATTTAATTTTTTCACATATTTATATTTATATATAGTTTTATATGTACTTGCATAATTTTTAGGTATATTTTTAATGTATTTTTTTTACATATTCTTTTGGATCAAAAGCATTTATATATTTTGAAATTTTTGCAGAGAATTATCCAGCACTTTTGCCCGTCTCTGTCGTTTGGTAGACAACGCCACCACTGATATGAATGAAGAACTTAAAAACCTTGAATCCCAACTCACTGTACTTGAGTCCAATCAGAAGCAGTTGAAGCTGTTACGTAATAAGGCCAATTATATTCAAAATGAATTGGATATTTTCGAAAATAACTACATTAGGATAAACTAGTAATACAATTTAGTATCAAACGAAATAAGTTAAAAGAATGCATGCACTTGACGTGTTGTACGCGCATACCTTGCATGCATGCGGCTTTACAGCCGACCTGGATGTGCGCGTGTAGTGAAAAAGGGAAACAGAAACCGACTCAGCGCCTGTACTCAATTCCCAATGCTGATTGGTTTTCTTTTTTTTTTTACATTAACCGAATTGCTTTTTGTTGATCTTTCATCTTCATATATACCAGTTTACATACATTTATTTAATTATATTCTACATTGAAACCCTACGTATTGATTGTGTTGCTCATACTTATACTCTGCAAGTACATACCTTTATACAAATATATATTTTCTTTTAACAATTACTACAACCTTACTATTTCTACTGTGGTCCGAGGTCAACGGCATTTGGCGATTTAGCGGTTTGGCAATTGCGATAAGTAGTTATTACGATATCTAAATAAATATGTATTGTTTTTGTTAATGGCAAAAAAGCTAACACTGAAGAACTATTTTGTTTAATTGTACATACACACTATAATATATTTCATGATAATATTTAGCTAAGTGGCCATAAAAAGCTAATGAAACAGTTTAATAAATAAAATTGAGCATAAAAATTGAAATAACAGTTAACTTTCTCTTACTGGCACTTTTCTCTCATTTAGTTAGCGTAGACAATGGCGAAGGCAGCCGAAGGTTTCCACCATCGAATCAGACATCGAAAATTTTCAAAACTGTTAAGCGCGAGTCCGCTATTCATTGAGTAGATATACCATATTTATTTTGTTTTACCCTCGCAACAAGATTTCTCTGGTCTTACGCGGTAGGACGAGTTCTTTCCTGTGGTTGGCTTCTAATAACGTCACTTACGAAAGACGTTTGAGGAGGGTTCTCAAATATAGAGTTTAGGACCCGTCTGCCAGTAAACTTGTTTTGTCGTTAGGGACTTGAGGACCTTTATGTTTGGGGCACGACAGGTTCTATGCGCTGGAAACGATTCTCGGCTGAACTCTTCCTCCAATCTGTGCTGGGTGTTCTGATGTTTTTCCAACAAATGGAGGGACCTACAATTCATACTAAATGCCTCCGAACGACCGATTTCAGATATTCATTCGGAGAGCTTGACTTTTCTATTGAGGGGCGTTCGCAAATAGAAAAATAGGCTTTGTGTTATCCTTTCCGATGAATCGCCGCAAAAGTTGTGTGAGACACAGCGATCCACAGTTAAGCTCGAGTACTGGTATTTGTTAGATGATTTCAACGATCTCGTTCACTTATTAAATTCTTCATGTTTGTCTCTGGACCTTTATCCCTCAACAAAAATACGTAAAAGCCGTCTCACACCGGATACAAGCTTAAGATCTAATTGAAGCCACCAAGTTGTGCCAGGTGCCTCGCCATCTGATCTTTCCAACAGCAAATTAGCGATGCCCTGAGGGTTAAGGGTTCAAGACCCTTCCTGCAGTAAGACAAAAGGCGACAAAAATCCAAAATTTTCCGTGACAGTCACGACTTTATACTGGATAAACCCGGAAATTTATCCGGCCAAGGACTTTCACTCCCGCAACATTCCCTAAAAACTACTTTGTGGAAAATTTTAACGGCTCAACAACAACAAAACATATGGTAAAATGCCGCTCCTTGCTCAGAAACCCTGACATAAGATGATTTTCGACTATTTTACTGCATCGGAAGCAAGCAGTCGTGTTAAGTTCGAGAATTTTGCAAATGTCTTTACAACAATGCAATAATTAAACAACAAAGCTTTTGGTAAACAACTAATAGCATATTTCGATGCGGCTGTGTTCATGAGAGCTTCTTGGAAACGAAGTTGATACGTGCATAAGTCAATCGAAATTCAGATCAGGGCCAGGCCGCGTTACGCAAGCGAGAAGCACGCGCCCAAAAATACAACGAAATTTTAATGATTTCAATACAAAAAATTTTGCATTTTCCTTCTTTTGCATTTGCGAAATTTCTACAAAAATTCACGTCCTTGAACTCGAGCAATGTACTCTTCGCGTGGCCCTCGCCAAAGCAATGTCGGTGGCGAAGAGCTAGCAACACTGCTGTGGTAGTTTCGCTCGAAAACCAACAAATATTCGGTAAATACCTTAAGGTGTCGGTATATTAATTCATACGAATACATATATACGTATGTATATGGCGAGTAGCACAATTACACATCTCGCATATCAATAAGAACCGGCTTAGCTGCGCTTCGGCACGCCGAGGTCCATTGTTGTTATTACTGTTATCTGACTACCTTAACGATTTTGTCATTTTAGTTTTGAAATGTTTACTCCATGCTTCATTGATAAATGACTCAACCCGGTCGCCCTTTACTTACACACCCTCCTTTGATTAGTTCGTGACGATTTGCTTGCGAAGGATGCACCTGAAACGGCGAAAAGAAGTAAACAAAACAATTTTGCAACTTTTAATTTTTTTATGCACCGAAGGCTGCTGTACTTTCCAGTTATTATTAATCTTTTCTTCCCTTGACAATCTGAAGAAGATGGGCTCGGATGAAATCTTGTATTGGGTGACCAACCCAAAGTAGGTTTTGGGGAATGTTGCGGGAGTGGAGGTATAAAGATCTGACCGTTGCTGAAACACACCTTGCTGCGAAAAAATACTTGAACCGCAACCCTGCAGTGTTGTCCCAACTTAGACTCTTCAGATGTTGTCACCGTCAACGACTCCGCACCATATGGTAGGATGGGCATGGAGAAAGGACTTAACTTTTCAATAGCCTACTCAGTCCAAAGTAGCCCCTGTTGGCAAATGTGATCCTGCGTTAGGATAGCATAAGATGTTATCTTCGTCTTGTCGATATTCTTATTGTGGGTTTTCGGTTTACGGTAATTCGCGCAGACAGTGGAAACGCTTTTTTATTGATTGGACAGAGCACGCTTAATTTCCAACTGTCGCGCATGCTTTCGTCCCACCATATTTTGCGAAAAAGCTGATGCATGCATCTTGTCAGCTCCTCACCACCATGTTTGAATAGCTCTGCCGGTAGGCCATCAGCTCAAGCTGCTTTTTTTCCTTAAGCGAGCAATCACTATTCGAACCACTTCATGGTCGGTCAATGACTCAATGAGTTCTATTGTCATCGATTGGAGAATCAGGTTTGCCATCTCTTGGTGTTTCATTTCTACTGCCATTCAGCAGGTTGGAGTAGTCTTCCTTCATAATTGCAGTATATTCTGGAAATCAGTCATTGGATTACGTCTCTGCGTGCTAAGAGAGTTAGACACGCTCTTGGAACCTTCTGTAGGTCGCTGCATTTCTTTGTAGATAGTGTTCGAGCGCAACGTTGCGAGGCAACCTATTTTCTCGCCTCGGCGGCTCGGTGATACCCATCGTACTAGCTGTTTTTGTAGAATAGAACTTGAAATGCTAATGGGAGCAGCAGTGACTACACAGACTACGTTCAGTTTTAGCACCATGCATTTATAAGAACCGCTGTACTGGACGTTGACTACGACTAGAGGGAACCTCCCTCCCTCCCGTTAGAAGCCTTCAATGACTTAGACTAATATCGCCTTCTCCTAAGCGGTTTTGGATAGCTGCTACAACAACAACAACGAAGCGGCTCTGCTGGTTGGGTAATCTCTTGAGAATGGTGCAAGAGGTTTTTGATATTTTTTGCATTTTAATTCCGATTTGTCTACTTTTTTTATTATGAAATTCAAAATTAAATAATAACATTAAAAAATCACATCACCGCATGACTAAAGACATGTTACTAGCGGTGAATACACACATGCGCACATTAACTCATCTATGAGTACATACATATGTACATATGTACATACGGCTTTGTGTTTTGGCTAAACGTCCTGCAACTGTTAATTAGGTAAACACTTGTTGCTCAGTCGTAAATATTGTACTACAAGCTTAATAACCGAAATTACATATGTACATATATGTATGTATGTGTATATACCTATTTAAGGTATATTAAGTTGCCTAAAATTCAACCTTGACCGCTTTACGTGTATTAAATGCAATTCTGCATTGGATACCGAGGATTTCTCGCGAAGTTTCATCATACATACATATATATGTGTACATAGTACATATGTGTATGTGTATGTACGTACATACCTTTACTCTGGTTAATAATTCAATATTTGTTTGGAAGTTGGTTTATTTGCATTTTGCAACGAAATTCGGCGAAATTCGTGGCATTTTTATTTGTGCGCAAGCATAAAGGGTTTTCCAATAAGAGTGATATGATTTCTTGAAACACACACACACACACTAATTGTTATGAAAATTCTAATGTTTTTATTTAATGTGAAGTACAATCCATACAATTAAGCTCTGAATATACGGGGGGATTAACAAAAGTTCGATAAGTTGACCAGAAAAAAAAGTAATTTTTGTATTTATTCGTAGTCTTTGTGCTTTCTTATCTTCTCTACATAATAACCATTGATTTCGATGAATTTCTTAAGCTTATAAATCCACTTCTGAAAAAGTCTTCAAAATCTTGCTGTTTAAGCCAATCAAGGTCAGTATTAACCTCGTCCTCGTTAATTTTTGAAAATAACCAGAAAACACAAGGTGCTATTGTATATCCGGAGAATATGGTGCTGGACGTATTTCTCCGTTCCCAGAGATCGCAATAAAATTGCTCGTTAGAAAATCCTCTTTCTTCCCGTTTTCCAACAAACTTTTTGAAAACTCTTGGTAAGCAATCTTCGGAGTATCACTTTGCCGTTACCGTCTAACCCTTTCCAGTGGAATAGCAGCTCCGATTTTAGATCGGGTGAAGTAAACTAACTGCTGATTTTTGTTGCTTTGATTTTACGGGTGGGTTTGCTTCTGTTGGGCTCCATACCATGGACCGCTGTGTGGTTTCTGTACCGTATTTATAGAACCAAGATTTGTTACTAGCAACGACTTCACTAAAGTTGCTGGACTGACCGTTTTCAAATTTGTTTGGTAAAAATTGGGCAAAATGCACTCGAGCCCCTTTTTGGGCCTTATTTAAAATTCGTGGTACCCATCGCGCATGTTTCTTTGTGTTTCCCAGATGATAACATAATATTCGCGATGCAGCCTTGGTCCTCAAGCCCAATTCATATCTTCTTATCTTCATTTCTTGTGTCAATCCTGGGTCTTAGTCACTTTTGGACTTTACAAGAGCCACAGTCATCAGTGGAAGATTTTGGTCGACCTTCTCGGCTGACCTTCTCTCCGGAAAAATGTCCGGTTTGGAATCTTCGAAACGACTTACAAATAGTCTTTAAAGACGGTGCAATCGTTCCATATGAATAATATGATATATATATTCGCTGTAGATTACGCCGAAACCCGAAGAGAATCACCTATCTTCAGCTGTCTTGCGTTTTCTCGTCGCCATTTCAGCCGCTCGTCCTAAAATTTGAAAGGAAGACTAATAAAGTAAATGCAATGGATTTGGTTTTCTCAAATTTAACAATGAGTTTTAGAATAACAAATTAAAAATGACCAATTCACCGAACTTTTGTTAGTTCCACGACTTCTTTTGCAGGAACGAACTTAATGAAGCCAATTTTCGAGCACTTTTTCCACTACATCAAGTCGTATGCCATGAGTAGCCATGAAAACAGTCTGGTTTAAATAA